ATATTGAATTCATAGAGTAAATACTAAGCAGTGTTGTATTTTTCCTTTTTATTATTCAGTTCCTAAACGCATGTTAAAATGATTACACTAATGTTAAAATGACATTTTTATGTAATGCTAGAGTAAAACACTACCGTTCACTTTCAGAAGTTGTTGTAGGGGTGCTTTCTTCTCACAAAAAGTGAAATGTATACTAGTTATATTAGAATCAGAATCAGATTTATTCACCACTTAAGTGTGCGCAAACAAGGAATTTGTTGTGGTTTTACAGGAGCTCTTGATACATACACACATATACAAATAACCATATATATATATATATATATATATATATATATATATATATATATATTTAGTTATAGAAGTTGACAGAACTGACTGAGCAACAGCTGAGTAAAACTGTTTCATCTGAGCATGTGGCACTTTAAGCATTATCGTATCGCATATCGCATTTTTCTTCAATATCGCACAGCCCTACTTTTAATCTCTCACTTTAAGAATAAATGCTCCATATCCTCTTTTTCCCCACAGAATCTACAATCCCCTTTCACAGCTATATTCAGGTGTGCCACATGTTCATCTGTAGCTATTGCCCCATAGATGATCCCCCATTGTAGATCACCACTACACTTCTCTACAGGAGGTTTATATAGGGCCCTCCACCTGTCTCTTATTAGGAAGTCTGGGTTCAACAAATCTGGCCACTTTGAAACTTTTTGCTTTATCAATTAATCTTGATGCATTGTCTTTACTGTCATATTATACATTACTTTTTTTGAAGAAGCTTTTAAAAGAACAAAACTGGGGATAGAATGACATCCGCCACTTCTTCCTCATCCTCCTTTATTGCTGGAGAAACAATCAGTTCTGGAAATTCCACATTGTTCCCCATATCCTGGATGTTCTCATGTCTTTGTGCAATAAATTTCCTGTATCCACTCGGTAAAGCGTTGTAAATTTCTTCCTTTAGTTTTGACACAAGACGTGAAGATCTCAAACCTGTTGCCTCTTTAAGTTCTTCAAGCGATTTCCTCCCTTCTTTATTCAATAAATGGTCCAACTTCACAGTTCCATTCCTCAAAAAACATTTTCGTACAGTTACAGAAGACAGCAATCTTGTTTGAATCAGTGGATTTAAAAAAAGTGGTTCCTCCAGTGCCCAGTGTTCTAGATCAGTGGTTCCCAACCCTGGTCCTGGAGGCACCCCAACACTGCACATGTTGCATGTCTACTTTCTCTGATGCACCAATTTCAGGTCTTAAAGTCTTTACTAATGAGCTGATGACCTGAATCAGGTGTGTTTGATTAAGGAGACATGCAAAACGTGCAGTGTTGGGGTGCCTCCAGGACCAGGGTTGGGAACCACTGTTCTAGATTGTCCACATTCCTTTCTGTTCTTATCACATTTTTCCATGTTTGTAACATAGATCTATAAAAAACAGTGAGCTCAGATAAGTTCATCTCTTCAATGTTCATTAAAAATAACTGTTTATCAAGTCCATAGCCACCAACTCTCCGCATGATCGCAATTACAGTTTTTTCCCATAGCACGTCTTTATCATATAAAAATCTCTGTGTAGCTTGTATCCTGAAAGCACGGATTCGATTTCGCACATCCACCAGTCCTTGACCACCTTCCTGTACTGGTAGGTATAATACTGCAGCACGAGTCCAATGCTGTCCATCCCAAAAGAAGTTGACTATTGCCCTTTGTACAGTAGAGACCAACTCCTCTGGTGGCTCCATGACAATAGTTCTATGCAGAGGCGGACAGTAACTAAGTACATTTACTTGAGTATTGTACTTAAGTACACTTTTTGAGTATCTAGTTTTTCCTTTGAAATTGTTCATTTCCTAAAAAAAACTCCTAAAATCTTTCATCCATATTTTTTCCATTGCAACCCTCCTGGAAGTTGTGGGAAATTTTCCAAATTACCAACTATAAAACCCTCACTTTTTGTCCAATTAACCTTAGCAGAAGAAGCTTTTTCATATAATTTAATAGTATTTGTTAAAATTGTAATATCTTCTTGGCCTGTAATAAAAACTGTAATGTCATCTGCATAGGCTGATAAAACCACCTTAGAATGACCATTAACATGAGGGATTAAAGTTCCTTTTAAATTCTTCCTCAGCCTGCATAATAAGGTTTCAATAATCAGGCTGTGTAATTGTCCAGAAATTGGACAACCTTGCCTTATGCCTCTTGTCACAGGTATTGGAGCACTTAAACCACCTCCCACTTTCACCATCACATGAACATTAGAATACAACAATGTAATATATGAAATAAAAACATCTCCAAATCCATAATTCTTTAACACCTTAAACAAATATTCATGATCAATGAATATCACACGGTCAAATGCTTTTTCCTTATCTAAAGACAGCACTCCCAAATCATTCTTATTATTTAGGTTAAAATCAATTATATCTCTCAATAAAAGCAGATTATCTATAATAGATCTCTTAGGAATGCAGTATGTTTGATCATTTTGTATCAGCAAATGTAAACAGTGCTTAAGTCTATTTGCCAAGCATTTAGAAACAATTTTATAGTCCAGACACAACAGAGCAACTGGTCTCCAGTTTTTTAACAGTCCAAGGTCTCCTTTTTTTGGAAGCAATGACAAAACTGCCCGACGACAACTTATTGGAAGTTGATTACTTTTTATGCATTCTAAAATTACTTCATATAAATCTGGTCCTATCAGGTCCCAGAATTGTTGATAGAATTTGACCAGTAATCCATCAATTCCAAGCGATCTACCTTTAGATAGTTGCCTCATAGGCCTCTGTGAATTCTTGAAAGGTGATTAAATTATCCAAGCTTGTTTTTGTTTTTCTTCAAGCTGAGGTAAGTCTTTAAGTATGTCTTCAGTGCACTCAATGTCACAACTCTCAGCTCTATATAATTCTTTATAAAAGTCTCCTGCCAATCTCCTCATTTCTGTAGGATCTGATGTAACTGATCCATCTGCACGACGAAGATGGCACATCATCTTTTGCTGGACATGTTTCCTTTCAAGGTTAAAAAAGAATGTGCTTGGAGCATCCATATCTTTAATGGAACAGTATCGTGTTCTTATCAACGCTCCTTTAGCTTGTTCATGTAGCAGAAAACAAAGTTCTTGTCTTTTCTTATTTAGCCCACCACATTGTACAGCCTCATTATTATTCACAATTTGTTTTTCTAGAGACTCAATGTCCATCTGTAAAGCTTTCACTGTTGCTTTCAATATACCTGAGGAGTGGAAAGCATAATTTTGGTAAAAACATTTTTATATTGGCCTTACCCACATCCCACCATTGGCTTAGGTTTTCAAATAATTTTTTCTTCAATTTCCATATATTCCAAAACATTTTAAATTTTTCACAAAAAGAGACATCCTGTAATAACTTAACAT